GTCTTTTAATAGCTGTCTTTATTTATTTGTATTTATTTATTTATTATTTATTTGTATTTATTATTTATTTATTTGTTTGTTTGTTTACTTATTTGTATTTGGTGGATTAAATAGATGTATTTATGTATGAATTTATATAATGTATTTGGTGTTTTGAAATTATACACAATACATAATCTTATGTGTATATGTATTTAAGTTTTCATATATAAATACAATTATATATCATACATGTATTCGGGTATTTGCAAGAGTAAATAACATATATATGTTTTTATAAAAATTACGTTATTGCAGTCGTCTTAATTTAAAATAACCCAACTTGATTCTTACTATCATTTCATGATGATTCAAAATATACACGAAGATGAAGTTGCTATACCCAAATTGATGTTTAAGCAATAATACATGGTGGAATATTTGAGTCAAAACGTATAAGTTATGGTACCAACTGTGACAACCCGAAATTTTGTCCGTTTCCGTTACGCGATTTCCGTAAATAAAATTTCGAATTCATTAACTTGTTCGTCAAACTTCTTGGTTTAGAAAATAATCTAGTTATATATAATTAAATTATTTACTAGTCGGAACCAAAAATCGCGCGGAAACCCGAATATCTCGAAAAATGAAACAATTCCGACCTAAGTGAGTTTACGACCGTAAACTTGTTTACGACCGCAAACTCGTTTACGGTCGTATACCCGTTTACGGCCAGCAAAGGGTGGACCCCCCACCACCGACCACAAAACCCCTATAAATATGAGACCCCCACCCTCATTTGAACACTGTTGGCCGAAAACTCTCTTTTTCTCTCTCTAAAAGCTTGACCGTAAACACCTAAAAACACCTTCAATCTTCAGGAAAACATCGAGAAACACCGTTTGAAGTCACTTCGGGACGTCTGGAGCACTTATCTCTTCGAAATCAGCACCATTGTTCTTGAGTTTACGGTCCACCTTCAAAGACCGTAAACCATGTTCTTGATTTTACGGTCCACCTTCAAAGACCGTAAACCCTGTTCTTGAGTTTACGACCGTAAACTCACTAAGCCTTCAAAGACCGTAAACCCCTGTTCACGGCTATAAATCCTGTTCACGGTCGTAAACTGTCTGTCAACCGTAAACCCTTGTTCACGTCCGTAAACACCTTTTTAAGTGGTGCTTTTGGCTGAAAACCCACTTTCCTCGATTCGATCAAGTCCCGGTAACATTCCTTAACCGAACACAAGTGTTCTTCTAACACTTAATCTAATGAAATCGCTAATTTAGATACATATATGTATTTATTTGATAATAGGATTCCGTTAAGTGTCACGTGCAACAACTCGAGGATCTTCATTTCAGTCAGCGCTTTCACACAACAACTGTGAGTTCATACCCCTACATTTTCCGTATTTTTAATGTTTTCAGGGGGGAATACAAGCTAAACATAAATGTTTTCAAAACTTATGCAAATCTCATACTTTAACCCTTTTGTACTGTGTTGAGCATAAGGGAGGTTTTCACTAAGATTACATAGTTTTCCGGACACGCTATTCACTATACATGCAAACTATAATCGGTATAGTTTGGGATTTTCTAAACATAACGAGTACAGAAACTTTCACTACTAAACATATGCACTAAGATAGAAATAGTTTACAGTTACATCACTACTTTATCATGGTTTTCATAACCGTAATTATCACTACATACGGTATACATACGGATTTTCACTACGGTAGAACGCTACTACACTACATGTAAACAAGATTGTACGATACTGTGAGACGCTACTTCAATACTGTACCCTTAGGTGTACAGGGATAAATCCTATCATAGTATACCAGAGTCTTCTGGAGGGGAGAGCGTGAGATTTGTGAATAGATCTATTCAGGACTGACAATCCCACATCTGAACTGCTAGCTACAGTTAGGCGGGCATGCCTGGGGTGTACAAATGTCATTTAACTTGACGCCTGAAGAACATTGGAAAGGTCTCTAGTCATATCAAGCATGGTTATACGACTCACATTATGTATAAATCACCTTTAGTTTACAACTTGACACTCTTCAACAGTTTTTATTTATACTAAATAGAACTAATACACACTACAACTGGAAAACTTTCAGAGTTTACAAACAGAACAGAACATACAATGGCTTCAGGTACGAAATACTTATACATCATGATTAGCATTTGCTAGTCACATGAAGTATTACTCTCGCGCATCACTACAGTTTTCAGTAACAAACATTCACGATATCATACAGAATTGAGAACACTACATTTTCACTAAAGAAAATATCGGATTTTCTTGAATCTATACAAAACACTTTTACGAACTCATCAATGATTTTCATTACAAACCACCGCTTATGAACTCACCAGCTTTATGCTGATATTTTCAAACTGCTTGTATTCTCAGGAAATCAGTAGACAGGTACTTGCTGGATTTTTGAGAAGCCGGAGCAATAAGAGTTTTATGTTTATACTTTACAAAGCTAGTTGATGTAATTCAAACAAGTATCAGACAAAGTTTCAAACTGATGTAAACATTCTCATATAAGTATTCACTGTAATGGTTGTGTTTCTATGATTGCTATTACTCATTGGTTGTGATGCTACACATGACGTCCTCCACCCCAGAACGTTTCCACCATTCTGGTTTTGGGGTGTGACACCAATAATCGGTAATGTCATAATTGTGACATTTAAAATGTTATAAAACAGTTTTTCTTAATTTGTGTGTTATTGATCTCAATTTTAAACATTTTTCTAAAATTGGTGAATGATAGAGTTTAATTCAAGTATTTCAAAAATCCAAACAGATTAATTTTTCAAGTTATAGAACTCCGGGAATTCGCGTTTAAAGTTTCACGATTAATAAATTTGAAAACGTCTGATTTTTCATTTTTTTATAAACATTTTTATCAAAAATATTTCAAATATAAATTTAATTATTAGGCTATAGTCTGAGTCAAAAAATGTTTTCGGAATTACCATTTGATGTGTGGAAGTCCCTCAACGGATCGATTCGGTTTTACGTGATTACACTTTTGGAAGTAAGGTATCATCTGATATCATATAATAATTGAAATAATATTATATATTTTACTTTGGATGCACTAAAACTCAATAAATCAGATTTTCACGAGATTCATGGTTAAATGGCCGATTATAATTTTTGCCCTAAATTCCGGGATGTCACACTATAGGCCCTCTTGGTGTTTACTATGAACAAATTACGGCTAGTTATTGAGGTCTTCGGGATGATGGGGGTTACTTTCTTGGAATTTGACTTTGAAAAAATCAAAAACTTCGGTTTTGATAACTTCCGAATTAGCTTCCCATATCCAAACGATGTTTAGCCCCGAGATCTTGTGTCTTCTAAAATTTAACTTCATAACCGAAATTAAATCCGTCCAAAAAGCCAACTAATCAACTGAATAAATTTGATATTCCATTTGCACCACATTTTTACTAATGTAGTAATGGTTGATTGTAAGAAAAGGGTTAATCCCTCTGTATCATGTTGTATAGAAAACAATCGAGTTTAATTTTAGGCGACTCTCAGCTACAAATATTGGTGATATTAATTAATTTATAATTATCTTTTTAGTCAAAAGAAAAATAGAGATACAGTTACAGGTTGGAAGAAATTAACAAAGCAGTTTGTGAAGCAGCTAGTAAAGAAAAGGTAGAATGTCGCCATGATCAACCGATGGATAAACAAAGAATACATTGTTGCTTTCATGGATAAGGAAATGTAAGTAGATTAATTCTTGTCCACACTAGGGGGTGTTTGGCATTGCGTTTGAAAAGTGCTTATTTGCTTATTGGCCTTTTAAAAAAGCTAATAAGTCAAAAAAAAGTGTTTGACAAACTTAAAAGCACTTTTCAGAATAACTTTTCCATAAGCTTCAATAAACACTTTTTAATAAGCATGTAAAACGTGGCTTTTTGAAACTGTTTATGGCTTTTCATCCAAAATAACTTTGAAAAACATTTTTTAAGTCAAACACTTTTTAACTTATTGACTTATTGGTTTTTTCACTATAAAAGCTTATCGAAACACTTTTTTAAAAACTCATTTTACCACCACTATAAGCAAATAAGCACTTTTATCTAAAAACACTTTTCTAATTCAAAAAGCATTCCCAAACACCCCCTAGGAGTCTACTTATATTTCTTTTGAGTGATAAGTGATTAAGTACATTGAAAATGAAGTATGTTATTTTTTTTGTATTTTAACTCCTGTTGCGTTTTAGTCAAATATTCCCATTTGTGAAGCATCTTTACCCTCATCTGTAAATTTTAAGGGCTTAATCATTTTAGCTTTCTTATTATTGTTCATTGCTAGGATTCAGTTCAGGTTAAATAAAACACATCATGCAAATTTCGTGCTCCCAAGTGTAATGACATTAGCTAATGATTTGAAATTGCCTTTGTATTCTTCAGAGGTTAAATAAAACACATTTCTTTTGCTGATTTGCTTGATTATGAGCTCAGTTATTTAGACTGCTTTTTTGGTCCCCGGTTATAGCTGACTTTTTCAATTTTCGTCCACAAAAGCTCTGTTTCAAACTTGGTCCATATTTTGATTTTTCCCAACAACGTTGGTTCTTTTCTCATCTAAGTTAATAGCATAGCATAGCTGTCAATTTTCTTAAAATCACCATTTCACTCAAGACCAAAACCAAAAAACAGTATACTGTAGTGACAAGCTATCATTTTTTCTTATTTGTTAATCAAGGTATACAACATTTTACATGTGCATATATGCATATGGTTTACATTTTTAGAGTGTATTGTAATTGTATTATTTATTAATGTATGTATTAATACTACTTGCAACATACTTATATTATTTTACCTATATAACAATGTACTTACATGTTTTATCGAAATCACAAGCAGGTCTGCAGGTGTATGTATGAGGAGCCGAACCAAAAAGCGTCGAGGTCTAAAAAATAATAAACAAATAAATAATTAATAACAATAAACAAATAAATAACATTTTCAGAAGTTCTGTTTGTGGAAGTCAAACTTGGTTGCTGTTTTCTGTGAGAAATCATGAACTAGCTGTTTCAGCTCTTTTGCTGGTGCTGGCTCTCCAAAATAGAACACCCCTGTGAGTTTCATAGACAAACGTTAGAAAACAACACTGCATTCTATAATAGTCTCTAATTTGTATTGTTTTTTCTTTTCTTGACAAAAAGTATGCATAACGTTTTAGGTCACCACCAGATATGCCTTTATCACAATCTACAAGCTTATTTTAAAAAATGAACATTGTGAAAGATTTAACACAGAGGGACTGACCTATTCCGGAACCAATGTGATTAAGAGTGATCTGTTTATACACGTCACGCCAATTGGGTTCAGAAAAACGAGACTTAACACGGGTCCCTGATACAACATCAATACCATTTCTAGCATGATAAAGTGACTGCAGAATAGTAATAAAGGCAGACCGAGCGTCATCTTCCTCAAAAACACTGGTGCAATAAGCATGCATTTCAATGACACCATATTCATCCATTTCAGCAGCCTCATTCATAATGTCTTTAACCATGTCAAACGAACCCTGTTCGCTTGTCACCCAATAGAAGTAAGCTCTTGTTGTTTTAAAGTTTGTTCGCCCTGACTTTTTCTTTTGTAGTTTGCCAGTGCTACCGTTTTCCAAGGCATTCTCTTCATCATCTTTGGCTTTAATGTTATTCAAAATATCTTTCACAATATTGATGATTGGGGTTCCTGACCCCACTAGTAACACCACCTCGTATTTCTTGTAGTATTGTGCTGCTGCTCCTCCATATGGACCATTGATTAAAACTTTTGGGAAGCTGTCAAAACAAAGTATCAACTATTCATAGTCATACATGAAAAATGTTCCCAAAGTATTTGGTATATGTTGTTAGTTAAAGAATATTAGGATTTATATCCACATGCAACACAGAGTGCTCGGTACATGTCCATGTACTGAATGTGCTTCCATGTGAAAAACCAACATCTCTTTCGATTATCTTGTAAATAGTACCTAAAATCTTCATACCATCTTCTTATAGGATTACCACTTTGAGTTGTTTTCAGCTGTTGGCTCAACATATGGCTTAGGTTTTTGCTTTCTGGACTCACGTCATGTTTTGGTGCTTGCAACAATAACATCTCTAAATCGTCAATCTGTTCTAACATTTTCTCATTAATTAAACACTTTCCCACCATTACCATATATATACATAATTTAGTTGTGTTTAATTTTACCATGATGTAACCGAGGTCATTTGGATCTAACTCTTCCATGATAGACGCGGCATATTCATCTGCTTGGTTTTTAATATTTGATAACTTGTTGATTGAAGCACTAAGGCTAATAATCTGCATAACATATAGATAATCAATATTTATTTGGGCAAAATCTTCTAATCTACCACCCTTAAACTTCTTTTTCATCATGATCTTGCTTTGGATCCAAAAAACTAAATACATAATCTAGACCTTTCTGACATCGTCTTGTGTGATCCTACCATCTTCGTCTTTATCAATCCTGCATTTATTACATATATAAGATTCCCACCTAACAGAAATAAATAGTGATTAAACTAAATAATAAGTCCTCACATGTCAAAGAAAGTCTGTAGCCTTGAATCAAAACTCTGACCAGAAATTTGGCCCCAAAAGTGCTTCATTTGTTCTTTATCAATCGAGTCACCTATTATGTTCCTCCTTAGGGTCAATAAATCAAACAACTCCTCAGCGAACTCTTGGGAATCTTTATTCATCCCTGGTATATTAAATTAAATAAAGCGAACCATAATTATTGATAATATAAAGAGCATGGTTGGATTGGACTGGACTTCCCAGAAACACGACCTTGGAAGTAAACCATTGGTGTACTTGGTGAGATCCTCAAATCGCTTCTCCAAGGGGGCCCACGCCATATTTTCGTCTTCCTTGCTTATGAACTTGAGCCCTTTGGGAGTGACAGATTTAGTCCTCATGGATTTCCGTTTCGACAAGTTAGTCAACCGTTTTAACTCTTCAGACAATTGTCGGTGGATGTCTTGTTGGTGGATCCTGGGCCCTGCAAGTAATCCATTTCACCAACCTCCAAAGTGATTCAATGTAGTCGTCAATTTCAGAGTTCACGTTAACACTGCTACTCCCGGGAGCGTTTTTCTGGTTATCCATTTTATGCATTTGCTTCCAAAACAAATTAACCAAATTGAAAATCACAACAGAGAGAAATGTGAAGAACGAGGTGGGAGTTTAAGTTTAAGCAACAACTTTTGTGAAACAAAAGAGTTACTACTTAAAAAGAAATCAATTTCCATGCCTATTACTTTCTTCACTATTATGATTAGTATCATTATTAACCGGTAAGTATATTATTGGATGTTCATTGTTATGATTAAGTTTCTTTTTTTGAATGTTGTTGTCAAAGATATAAAACGGCTTTCGATATAAACAATGCATACCATCAAATGCAAATGAGAACATCATAAGATAGAAGCATCAAGATATATATCATTTAGTAAAAGCAAAAATCTCAAGGTGAATAATATATAATGCAACTTAGAGGATACCGGTTGAAATCTGAAAAGCCACAGAGATGAATGTAAGGAACGTGAAAGTAACAGTTAACATGTAAGTTGCTAGAGAGGGCCATTTAATCATTTACACGTAATAACATTTTTTTACTAAAAAAACTAGATTTTGATATTATGCTAACAAATTACATTACTATTTTACTAAGCAAACTCACAAGTATGATCAATGAAAGTGGCAATGTACTTTCATTTCTTTACACATAAATATCAATGTATTTATAACTCCTTAACAACAGCAACATTTTTACAATTCTTTACCGAAAATAGCAATATGTAACAAATAAAATACATTACCCACATTGGTAGTCAAACATAAGTACATACCTATTATTGGTAAAAGATATAAAGTAATGTTGCTAATATCAGTAAAAAGCATAAGCATGCTGCTATTATCGGGCAAAAAATTAAGTATGTAGCTATTAATGGTAAAATATAAAGTATCATGCTACTATTGGTAAAAATAAAGTACATTACCCATATCGGTAGTCATAAATAAGTGTGTTATTATTAATGGTAAAAAATAAAGTAATGATGCCAATATTGGTAAAAAAAATAAGCATGTTGCTATGAAAAAAAATACAACCAATATGGAACCACCAATTAATGTAAAGGACACCCATTTGATAGCTGAAGCCACTAGGGTCTTGTTTCTTTTTTCCGCCGTTAAGTATTGTATGGATAATATGTCTTCCTGAATAAACTGACGTATACATAATGATTGCTTCTTTTTTGGGTATGAAATTTCTGAATCTAGATAAACGACCATTTAAAACATGTTTAAAAATAATGGTAAAATGGTCATTTACTTACATTTATGGGTATAATGGTGTCTGCCAAAATAAAACAACACTTTATATTCCAAATCTTAACATGTTTGTTACTAAAAAATAAACCATGCTTACATGAACAAGCCAATCCTTGCTTACATTAACAAGTTACCATTTTACCAAACCTTTTTGGAAATCTAAACAAATTACCCATGTGTTTAACATATTACCTTAACAACACTTTATATTTCCAAACCATTTTTGAAAATCCTTGCTTAAGTAGAACCTACCCACAAATAATTATATCTTCTTCATGCGTTGTAGTTTAAGTACATGATATTTAAGTACAACCTAACAACAAATTAAACCAGTTGGAATTTGACTTCTTTACACATAGTTATTTATGTACGACCTAATCAAAAAACCAGTCTTAGTAGAGGGGCATAAGAAAACGGGATCCTTTTGCAACTCGATTGTAGGGCATTGACAGGATTTCAATAAATTCTTTTTTTGTGTGTTGAGTATTTCACACATAAATAAGGAGACCAAGACAGAGATCCATACCTTCTGCTAAATGTTTATCTGTTTGTCTCCAAATTAAATTAACAAAAACCAAAATCATAATATAAAGGGACCTAGGCTTTTGGTTTTCTAGAAACAAAAAAGGAGCGGCTGCACACCACAAAAAATATTCAAACACCTGCGAGAGCTTCACAACACAAACAGATAGGTGCCTTTAATTAAAATTTCAAACACAAAAGAATTGGTAACAGTTTTGGTTTCCTACCTGGTTGCGAGATGACAATCTAGAGTTCAAATTGTGCGTTTCAATCTTTGTGCGATTTCGTATGTGCAGATATGGTTATGTTTATCATATCATCTTCTAGTTCATAAATTGCATATATCTAATCACATTCCTAGTCCTATGCAGATGTCAAATCAGCCTCCCTTTTCGAAAAACTAAAAAGAGGCATTTAAAAAAACCAAATGTTATTATATTATTAGATAAAAATCACAAAAAGAACCAGATGATTGACAAAATTGTTTCCATCAAAATTATAATTGCCAATTTGGGACTAGCTCACTCGGTAGAGACTTGTCTCTTAGATTGGAGCTCATGGGTTCTATTCCGGGCATTGGCGAATTTAAGTAACTTGATACTAACCACTAACCAACTAATTGACAAATACTATGCGGTTTCAGACTTAGATTTTTTGTACTAATTAAATAAATGAGTAATAAGTAAAAAGATTTATGCAGTTTCAGACAAATTGAATGCGGTTTGGGACTTTTAGAAGTAGTCAATACAGTGAAAACGAAATCTTATGATTAGAAAATAATAAAATTGATAAAAAAACGTTTCTGATTAAATCAAAATGATAAACTAAAACACATAATCTTTTTTATGTGCTTGATTGATAGCAATGACTGAGATGAGATATACTTACGAATTTCCAGTTAGCGTTGACGATAAACTTACGATAATCTTCAATAAAAAAAGAAAAAGAAAGAAATGCGGCTTGCAGAGAAAGAAAACTTGAAAACTCTGAATATCCTAGGTAAGGTTCAAGGCAGATCACATATTTGAATGCCTAAAAATGACAGACGGCAACGACGACCTTGAATATGGAAAAGTCAGAAGTCGGAACCTTGAAGGAGAGAGACGAATATGACAGAGAATCGCTAATTTGTGGGGATTTTATTTTTTGAAAAAGTTATATATAAATGGTGATCTAGTTTACCAAAGGTTACAATATAGTTTCTATTAATATTTTTTTTTATGAACATGGTCCTTCGGATTTTAAAACTTGCACAAATAATGTATGTGGTTTTTAATACTTGTACCAATTCCAGAAGAGACATTAAATATCCAAGATAATTTATTCTTCTTACTTATATTCCCACCCATATGAGATAATGATAAGTGTCTTAAAAAATTATGGATTTTATTAAAATATGATATTTGTCGTCATTTCACATATATAGGAAAATAATTAGGGAGAAAACACAGAAGGATATTTAATTTCTCATTCGGAAATATTAGGGCTAACACACCCAATCTCTAAGCAACATTTATCCCTTTCTAACTTCTTTTATCTCTATTTTTGTTTAATTTTGATTAAAAAAGTAGATTAAAGACAAAATTGCAAAAATTGTCCATGTGTTTCCGAAAATTGCCACTTTTCCCAAAAGCTTTTGACTACCACCACTAGTCCAAAATAGAACATTTATTATGGTTTTAGTCCAATATTTTTTAAAAGTAATTACAATGACAGTTACGGCCGTACTATTTTCATTTTCCTTTTCTTTTTACATTTCTATAAATACAAGAAATAGAAAAATAAAATGACCCTCTATCTCTATACACCTCAGAGACTTTAATTGTCGGAAACATCTAAAAAAACTCCAGTCACCAGAAAGTTTACCTAGTTCCGATGAAAACCACACACACATACACACATATAAAAATCAGAAATGTGACACAAATGAACACATAAAAAAAACCATATATCCTATAAAGAAAACATAAACATAAATCTGATTCATAACACACAGATACATAGAGGAACCTAGAAATGATTAAACACATATAATACTAAACACATACATATGTTTAAGATATGATATACTTGTTGGGTTATGAGCATATCTACATTCCTATGTGATCATCAACCCTAATTGCTTTGGATCTAAGTTTTTCACTAATTGAACATGCAAATAGAACACCAAAGCAATAAGCCTAAGACTAGCATACAATTTTCGAAATTCATGTAAAAAATAGGGTTTGAATATTACCTCACTTGTTATATAGTAATAACAAGACAATTCTTGAAGATCTTTGACTTTTAAAATTTTAGTGTCCCAAGTGTTGCACCTCTGATGGAGTCACAAACACCCATGTGGTGGGATTCTTTAAATAGTTGTAGGCTGCTAGGGTTTCTAGAGGAAACCATAATTCCTGCTTAAGGCTTAAGCAGCCCATGGACTCCTCCTTATGATGCCTTGGATGAAATCTATAGGTCCTCCCTATAGAATTTCGTCCACTCCTAATTAAGGTGTCCAATAGCCCAATTCTGCAACTATCAATGATTTGCAAAACAGCTCCTCCATTATTAATTAGTTCCTTTAATCCCAAAATTAATATCAAATTAATTTTTGATTAAATACCAACTAATAATATAATTTCCAAATAATATATTAATCTTATAATATATTAATAAAATCATTTTGAGTACCAAATTATTATTTCACATAATAAATTCTACTATCTCTCCGCTAGTCATCCTGTCAAGTTGCATGAGTGAAGGCAACCCAAAAGGACCATGCTATTATCAAATCAAGTACATATCAATTATAGTTATGGGCTTAGACACCTAATCCAACAGTCTCCCACTTGGATAAGTCTAATAACTATGATTGCAAGCTGTTGTCGAACTTTAATCTAATCAATGACGCGTCCTTTAGATAAGTGATCAAATATCCCACTGTTCTACAAGATATTGTATGGACATGAGACATAGATTTTAATCATTCTCTCCTTCCAAGGTTTGTTTCCCGACTTCCGATTTATGACAACTGACGCACACTACAATTGAACACATCAACTTAGTCCAGGCTTGGCCA